ACTTGGTAATTTTTGGCATTCTTTTGTCATTCTCCATGATATCTATGTTGAAGTTGGCTGCAACATATCCAAATTGAGATTATATGATTAGCTAGATAGTAGACAACTATATCAAATTCTGGACTAATTGAATAAAATTTTAAGTATACTCGTCGTCCTCTAGCAAGTTTTGGTACTTCTTGTATGAGCATTTCATCAAATTTTGTTAATTCTGCTAAATTTTCTCCCGGATATATCAAATCCAAGAATCCATAATCTGCAACTGTTTTTATGAAGACGAGATCACCTTCCTCCATTGTTGTGACTCTGGGATAAACATTTTGTCCCGGAGAGATGAAATATGTATCACATTTTCATTTCATAAACCATTTGGATTATCATGGCATATTTTTCTTCGCAACCAAAGAGATTTTATCTTCTGGGTCCATGATGCTAATTGTTTTGGAATTACTTTTGTCTTCTCTTAGCATCACTTTTTATTTGTCGTGACTGAAAAAGCATCTCATGTTGGTATATTGTTCCTTCTGGGTCCACTGCTGCGTCCTGTACCTGTTTGGTATTGAATTATTGGAAGACCCATTTCTGGGCTACTTGGTATTTCTGTCTCAGACAATATATTTTTCAGTTGTGCTACAATAGCATCAACCTGATTTTTGAGTTACATGAAATTTTTACGTTGTTCAAAAGTTATTTCCAACAATGTTTTTATATTTGCCTTGAATTCTCTGAAATTGATATTGCACTAATATTTATGTCCTCTGCTTCTTCTTTAAGGAAATCAGTCATATTTTTGTATATGAAGGACGGATTGATATAATTCCATAATCTTGTTTTTATCCATCAGCAAATTCTATGTTCCTGCTGAGAAAATCTGCAAGATAATTATTCACACCTTTAATATGAATAATTTCAAAATTATAGAAAGATAAATATGCTTGCCATCTGTACAATCTCCTATATTGATGTTCTATTGGTAACTTATTCCTGACTAATCCTGTAACTTGAGAATTGTCAGTTTCAACACTGAATTTTTTAGATAATAGGAATAA